ATATACAATTATCAAAGGTGCGAGTGTGGAACTTTCAACCAATGCTGAAAACACATGATAGTATTTGTTGTACGGATATCGGGCAATTGTGGCAAAAGGAGAGGAACAAAGGCCTGAACCCCAGATGAGTCTTCCTGCCAGGGAAGAAGAGAAAAACATTGTCTACACAGAGCTTGTTCGTTGGCGCCGGGATTATCTCGGCAAACATGTCAGGGTCGCTCTGCCAATCTTGTGCGGTAAACGAAATCGGAAACACTTTTCCAGCGGATTTTGTAATGTCTTACACTGGATTAAAACCGCCTAGTCTTTGAGACTAGGTACATGTTAATGCAGATCATATTTATTTATGTCTTGCAGCAATAGGGGTTGCGCCTGTTTGTTAGGAGATATTTATGTATTGCTTTCCTTCATCTTCGAAGCATTTTCATCGCTGAGCAAGTTGTAACGTTTACATTTCTTTCTGTGGCCTGCATAATTATCGAACCCCGTTTGCACTTGCTTCGATTGGAAATACCGAAAAAAATCTGCAGGCTTAAATCGGAATCTTTTGATCTATATTCAAATAAAAAAAAAATTTTGTCCTTTTGACTTTTGAATGTACTTCCACTGCTGTGAGAATCGAGACACAACTCTTCAACTGCTGTTTCTCTGCAGGGTTTCTCAAAGGAAGGTGCAAGTGGGGTTGGCATGGACTCCCTCATAGAACATAAGGGTTGATTATACGATCATTTATAGAATTCTTTATGTCGAATCAACAAAATTCCACTTCAAATTAAATACCAACATCAACGAATTCTCTATCTTTAATGCGTGTTTCGAACTCATGCAAAGGTTCAGACAGGTCAGTGTCTTTATCATGTTTTATGGGATCAGCGCTGGCTCCCGAACAATTGGCTTCGCCATAATCTTTCAATAGATGAGAAAGGTGTTTTAAAAGAACCGACAAAGCTATAGTTATTTAATTTTCGTAAGGTTTCCGTGTAAATCAATTTTGTATCTACTCTGTTGACCACTACACTTTATACACTACAGTCTATTTCCACCTTTACAAACTGGAAATAGACTTTTGAGAAAAAACGAATGGTGCCTTTCGTATATTTGATACATTTACTAAACAGCTATGTAAAAAAAAGTACATTTTTTGGGTTTACATACCCTTTAGATCTACCAAAAAAGACTTTGTTTCAAAATGTTGTCTCGGCACAACACGACTACGTGTTGAATTGGAATAGTTAATATTCGGGAAATTTCCGAACTAATGAGCTGTTTCTACACTAATTTTTTTTCAGTAGTATCCTCTCTTAAATTACAGATCATCTCATATGTACTACGGAAATCATGCATGACTCATTTGTTCCACCGTCCCTTTCAAACCTGAATTGAACATTGAATTGAACTATTGCTGAGATATTCCTTTATACTTAAAGGGGTTTATGCTAAGAGTAAGTCAAATGACATATGACTTTAAATGTGGCGCTATTGCTGAAACTATTAATCGATCTCCAAGAAACGTGCAGCATCACCTGCAATTGAGTGTTTTTAGAAAAGCGACACAGCTAAATTTCCGTGTATGTGAGTGGGAAGAGGCGTTCGAGAAATTACCACTCTTGCAATAAAAACTGAACTTCTGGGCCGTTGAAAGCTGATAGTGAAATGTCTAAAACTGAAAAAGTTCGTCAACAAAACACGAACATACCATCCAAAAGCAGAGAGAATCAAGATATCGGGCCAAATTGCGCATCTGATCAAAATTTTCAAAATTAATTGATAAGTTTTTGAAAGCTAAATTTTCCAACTCATTAACCTATTTAGGTCTATTTACCTCCCTCTATTAGTAGAAGTTGGTATTAGTGAACACCTTCAGTGGTACAGGTACCATCTTGTATATGCTGGGTTCGAATCAACTTAAATTTAGTACTTGAAATACTAGATCACTTTCTGCCGTAGAGTAGTTTAAAACTGTTTTGAAAGAATTACTAAGCTCTATACCGTGTTGCTGTTAGAATCGTCTGGAACCCACATTATACTGCCGTGTCGAAAGTGCGATGCTTCTGTCAATGTGCCAAGAGCCAAAAAAGCGAAGACCCATCCCGCGGGAAGCCACCTGACCATTTTGTTGCTCGCAGGTTTCGACTCAAACTGAAAATAGAAATGCTCGGTGCGTTTAGTGCATTTTGTACTGCTCGTACTGTGTCTTGTAGTCAATAGGCTCTTTGCAGGACATGATCACGTGCTTGGATACACATAGCAAGGCACTGCGTCAGGCTCCTTGAGGCGTCAACTCAAGCGGAGCCAACCACAGGTGGCCCAAGCTCCAGCTGTGAAATGATCATCTTGCAAATTAAGAGTCATGGCGAAATTTTAAGACTTTGTAAAGGAATATTTGCGACCTCTCTCAGGGATAAAAAAGTACAGTCGAATTCCCAATAAAAATACCAAGTTACAGCTGTGAGATGATCGTCTTGCAAAATAAGAGTCATGGCGAAATTACAAAAGTTTGTATGAGAATATTAACGATCGCTCTTAAGATTTAAAAAAAAAAGTCAAATTCTCAATAGAAATACCTCATCTTACTTCCACAATGAAAAGAACCCATTTTAGTGAGTCATCCATTTCTAGGTTTACCACTTACATAAGAGAAGCGCTTCTCTTATGATCATCTCACAACACATGTTGAGTTTGCCTTGATTCAAGATGAAACATTTGTGTGAAAGGCGAGAATTTTGGCGCCAATCTGTATTTATTGGCGCGTCTCTTTTCCCGCAATTTGTACAACCCCATGGTGTATTTTAATTGGGAAAAATTTCTATGTATGGAATGTACTAAAGTTTTAAAAACATAAAAGTCATTCAGTTTCCTTTTCGCGTTCTATTATTAAATAGTAAAGTGTAAGTCCAGAACAATTTTTTCCAGTGTCCTAATCTGAATTTGGTCAAAAATGGGCTCTCTCCTAAGCGCCTTTCAGCAAATGCTCAACTCTAAAGGAAATAGTGAAGGCTCAGTGACTACTTTGGGCGAAATTTTACGTTTGTACTCAGGACTTAACGAAAACATTCTGATGAAAGTTGCTTTGCCAGTGTGCCTTCAGTCTGTGTACTAAGGGATTAGGCCCACTTTTCCTTCCTTGCTGATTGTCAACTTCTCAGTCGATTATCAAGTTGTAGTTAAAGAGCAGTTTAGAAGTTACTATTCAACTAAATGTTTCACAATTCGGACTCCCATGCTCAAAAGTTATTCATTTAGTACCTTCATTTCCTCATTTTATTTTGCATTTTCTTCACATCAGAGGGAACTGAACGACGCCCATCAACCACGGTGCTTGGTATAAACCACATGATTGTGGTCAGCTACATACCTGCAACATTTGTCTGAAAACCGCACAGAGCTGTGATGTACGTTGCGCAAAATATTTGGAACGAGGAAGACTCTCAGGAAACGTTCCATTCTGAGATTGACCTATGTTTTGAAACAGATTGCAATTCAGCGAATAGCATGTGCCATAACATCGTGTTGTGAGTTCACATCTCATGATTAGTTTGTCAAAATTATGAAAGTCGAATGTATTATCATAACCATTGGAGTGTTGAAGCCTATTCGCCTTGAGGGATCTTGTGTTTGACAAAGCAAAACATGCACAGTCTCATTTAACACTCCAAAAACCCTCCGAGTGGAAACCACAAAAAATTTATTTGATTAATTGGTTTCTAATCATGGTCATCTCAACGCCTGACGTATTCCAGTTGTATTCACTCAGCTGAATCTCCTCTATCGGATTCGCAAAGGTAAATTCAGTATTTTAATTACCAGAGTCTCACGTCTTTCAGCTTTTATGGCCTCTACAATTTTACCATACATGCCATTGTTAAAAACTTTTTTGTTGCTCGTCGTGGTTACCAACCCGTTTGCAAAATGTTCTGCAACCGAAAATAAAGGAGCCATCAACGAAGAGATCGTATGGTATTATGAGCAATGTTAGCAAATAAGTATTTTTTTATGTAACGAGTGATTTACTTTCCTCATCCTTTGCGCCAAACAATGTTATAATCATCGAAAAATTTAACAAGAATTGAATGATTCTTTTCTTCTGGAAAACTTGGAAAGTTTCCGTCATTCATCGCTTTCCACGGATTTTGTTTCACGCCTGTTGCAAGAGGTCAAATATCTCGAGAATTGAAATTCGTATATTTAGATGGGTCTACTATATGTACATGAAGCTTTCATTTAGAATTAATTCTTAAGCGTGGAAAAACGTTTTTGGAGTCAATTGTATTAATGATCAATAGTAATGACAAGTCAGTTGGACCGTCCAGATCGTTATCCAGGATTCGAAATGAGGCTATCAGAGAATTCCATACTGGGTTGTTTAATTTTACAAATTGTGAATACACCTTAATCATTTACTCTTTATCTTAAGTCGTGAGATTGGAGCATTTATTGCGCATCAGAATGTTGATAAGAAACAAGACATTGCGCTATGCCTTTAATTGGGTACTGCATTAATATCTTGCCCAAAAAAACACATTACAAATTGTCTTTTGCGGGAAAAAGCGTAGCTCAGGATAAGGAAGGCAAAATAATAAAAACAAAATTGATGTCTCCACTAGACTACGCAGTCATTATCTTATATTTCATTATTTAAATTTGAGAGGTAAAAGCGCTGCACTTATCTTTCCCTGTTTTCAAGTGCACATGAATCGTACATGAATTGTGAAAACGCCGAGAAAATGGAATAAGAGAAAGAAAACCAAAAACATGGCAAAGTGATTGTAATAAATACAAGCATTCCACTTCTCTAGTTTGCCATAAAAAACGAAAATGAACCTTTTCTTACATTTTTTCCTCCGTTTTTGAATTTTCAAAGGTTTGAAATTAGTTTTCGAACGGCTAGGTCACAGCATGGAATCAAAGAAGGTGGCAAGTTGTATATTTACTTTTAAATGGCGGAGGAAAGGTTATCATATCTGGAGTATACTTGTTAAAGTGATGAAGTTTTTACACAATGCTGGTATGGAATTTTATTATTTCACCAAGCTAACAAATAACACACGCTATAATTGAAACCGTTAAAAGTTATGTTTGATAGTGTAGATAAGTAAATGTATATGAGCTTTACATATGCAACCAGGTGCCAACCAATATGTACTGCAAAACTAGTAGAGACATTTCAAGATGCATTCCGAAAAAAAAAATCTGTGAAGATGATTCTAAAGGCATGGCGCTCTATAACATATAAACATGAAAATAAAGATAGACCCTCCGTAAGAGAAACAAACAAGAGATAAATCTCAATGCCGACGTTTTGAAGAAGAAATATATCAACACCAGTGTTTTTAAGCGAAATTCGACTTAATTATTGCCTCCCATTGCGACACATCATCCTCCGGCATGTAAGCAGCATTGTTTTGTCCCGCTGGCTCGTCTTTGTTGCTGTTCGGAAACCGTTGCGTCCTGCGATACTTGACAAACAAAACAGCCAGAGCTACAACTGCAAACAGTCCAAATACTCCAGCGCCTGCTACACCACCGATCAGAGCTGTATGCATACCCTGCTTGGGCTCTGCAAAGACAAACAAGAATTAGTTACATTCCTCGAAGAATACTTACGTCGTAGCCTCAGAACAGTGAAAGTTTCGGTCAGCGCCGAGAATCGAGAGCTCTAGGAATAGAGTTTTGGTCAAGAGTCATCCTTTGAAAAAAATGGTTACAGAAAGGTGAAGGGGTCAGGCTGTTTACAAATGAAGACAAAAAAGTATATCAAAACAACCATAACGTTTCGGTTCGCTACATTAACGAATGCTTATTTCTAAAACCTACCTTTGGATTCTTCTTCTTTGGCCCCCTCGAACAATACAGGTCCACCTGTCAGAATGACTTTGTTTGTGCTTTCTTCTTGCTCTGTCCCATCTCGTACTACGTCTCTCCTCTTTCTCTTGTTCTTTATACAGCCCTTACTACATCTGCAAAAAGTCAGTTGGGTTTTGAGTTACAAAGGACTGTGACATGGACGAGAAATACAGGCTAATGATCGAGAATACATTCCCTTTCTAACAGTCGCTGATCATGATACAATGAGCCAAAACGCGAAAAAGCGTGACCCGTTTTTCCATTTTTTCATTTCTCTCTGAAAGTCGTGGAAACCATCGATGTCGAATATAATTGTTAAAATGAACCTAGCAATGCCCTTGCTCACCTGGGGTCTTTAGGGCTCAGTGGTAGAGTATCGAAGCTCGAAGGTCCGAGTTTCCGGACTTTTAACGTTGACTTTCGCGAAAAGACGAAAAAATTTCTTGTGTTCATAATCGTGATACGTAGACGGCATGGTTTATGGTAATTATTTGCCGTGTACTCCAGAACGAAGGGTCCAGGTTCAAGACCTAGTAGGCGCATTGGTTCGTCCTCTTTTTGCATTGTCTACCTTGATCAAGGGGCTTTAGCCGCTACGGGTAAGTGGGTCCGAAATACTAGTTAGTACCCCATGCAGGTGGCATAGCAATACCACTGATCCTCCATTGCTTTAAAAAAATGGAATGACACATTTGGCGACACCTGGCAGTCTAACAAAATAAACCAACTCTCTAGAATTTTAATACAGGGTCATTTTTCCGACTTCGCTTGTTTGCAATGCAACTGAAATCTCTGAAACCAACCTGGAATTAGGAGAATTCCGGTGACAGGCCAGCAATTCACAATGGAAGTACACAGTGCCATAGTCGTTCCAAAATCGGAGAGTTTTGATTTTAAACTGTTGGTATTGTCGGGTTGGATCATAACTGTAGTCAAGCGTTGAATCTTTGGGGCATCTTATAGTTAAAGACAATAATTAAAACAAGATCGAATGAATTAAATGGATATCCGTGTAAATATTAGAGCATCAATTTAAACTAATTCAGAGAGAAAGATGGCCCTATCATTGAGAATGTTATGACTGTTAAGGCCATTTTAGTAACTGTTGACACCAAATAGACGGTCCTTATCACAGCTTTTAATATCTTGTTTCAACAATGTAATCAAGTAAAATGATTCAAATTACAGGAGGCAACAAATGTCATCGAGCTTGCACAACAAGGCAAGCGGAAGGTAGTGCGCGACGAACTCCCCTCAGGATTTCTCGCCTCCCACGGATTTCTCGCCCCTCGCGCTCGCCCCCCGCTCATCTCCGCGCGCCTGAAAATCACAAAGAAGACAAGGCGTTTTCTGCAGTCTTAGCTTAGCTAAATGTATTAGATCAGTTACTGGCTATGCTTGATCACGGCACAATGATAAACTAACCCGTTTTGAAGAAAGGTGTATTGTGGCCAAGAATAAAAGCTTGCGTCTTTAGTAGCCTTACAATTCTCAGCCATAATGACCAGGTCAGCTGAGGACGCCACACTGTACCGTAAATAAACATATTCATTAAGATCCACCGTTAGAGGGTAGTCCTGCGTTGTATAGGGCGTGGCAAACGAAGAACTCTTATAAAAGTCCATCTTGAAGGTGAAGGTACCATATCCCGCTAAAAAATGAGGAAAAAGCAGGAAAAAGAGAATCAAGTAAAATTCTTTCTTTTTTTGATCACTACATGCGGTCAAATAGAGCATCCGTAAGGTTAATTGTTCATCCGACCGCACTGAATGCAAACAAGCCAGAATTGCAGAGGTCTCAAGTTCAATTGGACTATAGCCGTGGTTCCTATCCTCTATTGCATCTTGCAAAAACCCAACATTCAGATTTTGAGCACTTCACCTCAAGGAGAAATTCTCAATTGAGTGTCGAAATTCATCCTGGTTTTAATGGTTTTCCTTTGCTTCTCTCTGTCACTGGTTTCAAATACAAATGCCACCTCTTGGCCTGGCGACACTCCATCGAAAATAACTTTATCTGCATCTACTTTAGTACCCCGAGATAGTTGGCATTTGTGAAAGACGTGGTAGTCTAATGTCTAGAAACCGGATAGAAAGGTCTGATAATCAGCCCTCGTTCTGTCAATACAATATTGCGAGGCAAGACACCTAACTACTTCAGTGCTCCTCCTCCACCCAGGAATACAAACGGGTACCGGCAAACTTGCAGGGAAGCCTGATGAAATTCCGAGGGATATTATTTGTAATTTACCTACATTTCGTCCGGTTCCGTTTTGTGTTTCATGCCAATTTATAATAGTAATAGCACTGAATGGAGACCAATTCGGTCTGTAATCGTACGAGTGATTGACAAAATCGGGCGACCTCGAAGCGGGATTCTGATTAGTTGATCATGAGTATGACTACAGACAGAATTGGACGACACGAAGTTATTTTACCAATTAATCAAAACTATGACAAAATTAGAGAAAGAAAACAGGCATCACTCATACGTTTTCACAAAAAAAAACTCTATAAAATGCGCGCTAACAGGGCGCGCATATGACGCGTACTGTCCACCTACCAGCAGGCATGATGTGTCAACTGTCTTATTACACTGTGTAATTACAAGCATGACTCGTACTCCTATTACGCACGTCTGATTGGCTGAAAACGAGTGTATTTTTCATGTAACATGAGTACAAAGACAAAGTTGTAACACGAGTGCAAATTACAAATAGCGTGCGCGCTGCCAAAATTTCGTCCGTCTTCATGTAAATTATTAACTAGTAACATGATATGGAGTGCAATTTGTTGTTCATAAGCACTTATAAATTTTTCAAAGACTTGTCTTTGCAAAATTTACACGTGCTTGCTAACACCAAATTGCACTCGTAATCATGCTGTTACCTATACAAATCGGGCTGGTGTTAACCAATCACGTTCAAGAATTTTGTTCTAGTTTTGATTGGACCAAAATAAGTCCCAGTTAAACCTTAACCAACTAACCCTGACTAAGACATCACCGCCTAAATAAACTTATCTATTTCGTTTCTTCTGAGTTACTTTCATTCCCGACGTAAATCCTCCGAGGTGTGAAGGCCAGGCTCAGTAGCTTCTTTCGGGAGTATCGGCAGTAAAATGGCAGTTTTATATCATGTGAACGAGTAACCACATTGGGGGCTAAATGCGAGTCTGTTGCTGTTCTTGTGCCGAGGAATTTCGGACTTAGTGCCCCTCTTTACCAATGAATTGCAACTGAATGGATATCAGCATTCCCAGGGAACTTGATTGACAGTGGGGGTTAACATGAGATGGATTCGTATCGCGTCCAAAGAGAATAAGTTGTTCGAACAGTAGTGTTCGCTTCTTTTCACAAGGAAGCCGGTATAACTACTGGTGGCTCGAACTGCCTCGATCATATGCAAAGAATGGCAGAAAATGAAACTTTTAACTCGCTTTATTTAATCTAACTCCTTTTTAGTCAGAAAGTTTAATACTAACAGTTTATGAATCATATAGATGAGTGTTACAATCGAGTAAATTGTTAGTTTATTTGCCGAAAAAAAGCATTTTAAATACGGGAACAGGATTTGTCCAACTTATTTTGTTTCTTGCCTTTACAAGATTTTCCATTCGACTGCAGTTGATATCCGCTTGCACAAGAACAACTGTAATTTCCCTGAGTGTTGCGACAGACTTGATCACAACCTGCTGGTAATATGAACTCTGGAAAGATTTTTGACCGGGCTGAAGCATTCGAATGCACTGAAGAGGAAAGTTAAAATAGTAAGTTCAAGGATTAAAACGCTTTTTAAGCGTTAAACGACAAATACAAAATTTAAGCGGAGTAGCTTTCCACTGTCTACTGGTGCAAGTTCATGCAACTGATTTTGTGCGGTTAAACTGAAGGATTGTGCATAAAAAAAACGACTTCCTTTCTGTGACTTTTTAAAGCCAGGTCCTGCTTTGTAAACTTCAAAGATGATGAGTTTTAGACTTCCCTATGGGAATGAATTAGCTAAAAAAAAAGAATGCGTTGTGTCTTGGAATTCTGAGCATTTCACGATTTCACTATTGTTAAAAGTCACCGTAAAGTACAATCGAGCGTGTGAAAATCGAAATAAAGAAACAGAGCTAACAGAGCACAAAACTCTGATTTCTCTTAAAAGCTTCATCTCGACTTCAGACGACTACATAGAGAACGGTTTATTTTGCGGGGAAAGATGTAGCAACTAACCATAGGAGCTTGCGTAGGCACATTCATTTACATCTGAAAGAGAAAGAATATCTGATTGATTAGCTGGGCAACCACTTTGTGAATGACATGTAGGGACGTAAGGATGGATTGATGGGATGGGCATATGAATGAAATACTTATGTCTCTTAAAAAGAAATAATACTGCAATGTTTGACATCTTTGGTGTGTAATATATGCCTGTGGTATAAATTGTTAGAGTTCTTTCACACTTTTACACTTCACACTTTTATTTTTCATTTTCTTACATATTACAAGATACTCCTTTGACCCAGCAACGAGTCCATAAGTTAAATAAGGTAAAATTAAGGATTTATAAATATTTGTGAGTACAGATGATGGAACAAAGTGTCTCAGCTTAGCAATCAGTTCTATGGTCTTACTTATTTTAGTGATAACACAGTCCAAATGGTTTTTCCAAGAAAGATTTTCATCGATCAAAACACCTAAATACTTGATATAACTCTTATGTTCCAAGGTGACTCTTCTATTTTTTTCATTATCAAATATACTTATTTGAGGAAGATAACGGATTTTCAGGGCATTTTGCATTGTTCACGAAGGGTTCTGGGCTAACAACATGAGTATTAATGTATTGAAACATTTACACGAAGAAAGTAACGTCGGATATACATAAGTCATATTAAAGAATTTATGAAGAAAATGTGAAAGTGCCATCAGCTCACCTACACAGCTACGAAAGTCTGGCAAACTAAGCGAATATCCGAAGCGACATACACCACGTACATAGAATCTCCAAGCGCTCGAGGATGATATTCCGGGTGTGAAAGTGCCACCAGATGAACAGCCCTCTCCAACTACTACTCCTTTATCCATTAAGATTGCATATAACCCTTCCATGCTCAACACAGGAAGGGGAATCAAAAAACGCAGTGTGGTTGAATTACTACCAATTGTCACGTTTTGAGAGAGTGCGTCCACTTTGTAGACTGTTTGTCGACTGGGCAGCAAGACGAGTCTTATGTAAGACGATGCTCGAGGTTTTTTGATCTGTTGGAAAATTTGCAAAGTATAAACCTTTACAGATTGCAGTAATTAAATTAGAGAGAAAAATGAACTCCAGCTGTGTCATTTCCGGAAGGAGTAAATGTGTCTTCTTCCACTGCTCACAGAACACCGACTGGAAATTCGAACATTTTTTTTTTGGAGGGAAAAAAACTGAAGAACCTGGGAGAACTTTTGGAAAAAGGACGAGAACCACCGAAAAATTCATCTCACAAGTGGCGTCAGGCTCCGCAAGGAACCTGAGCAGCAGCTCTCGGGGACTTTCGTTCTTACTTCTGCATCATTTTCTCTAACCCAAGTAACTGAGTAACCCAGGGTAGCCGTCTCCTCACTCGTGAATCATGGATGAAAAGAACTCAAAATGTGCCAATTACATAAAAACATATAGCCTGTGTTTTGGGCTATGAACTGGCCGAAAGCGTGAAATGAAGGATGTGTAAATGAGCGCTCGAAAGTGAGCACATTGACCGATCAATTCAGCTCAAAGTGATAAATGAATATCTGCCGCATGCAGACTGTTTCACTGGAAAAGAGCCTGACCTAAAACGGTATACTGCTAACGTCATGTTTTGTTACCACGCAAATTAACCCGCAACCAAAAGTTCAAATTAGATGGTGAGTGAGACACTGATAATGGAACCTTACCAATCGGTCAAACTGAACGCTCCAGTTGGAATAACCTGATCCAAATGTACTAACTGGTGCTTTGGGTTTGCGACTCGCTAAAATAACTCGCGGAGTACTACCTGAAAAAAAGTTGTTATGTTTGAACCTCTTTTTACGCTTTTTACTAACACTTTGAATGATAGTTCTTATTACACGTTTCTGATGATAAAAATTTGCCTTCCTGTCGAATTCGTGAAACAAAAGGATTTCCAAGACTAAACTTTGTTACGAATGATACCTAGGTTATAGTGACTTCACTGCCCCGAACGGAAAGTCATTGATAAGTAAACAAACTAAAGGGTCATCATGTTGGTAGCATTTGCTGTCGAGACCATATCAAATTTTTTCGAACATTTTAGTGTTACTCAGTGGGCGTTATTCGAGTGAAGTTCATTATAAAGTCAAAATTTGGAAGACGTAGTTCCCACTATATTTCCCTCTAAGTTTAACGAAAGGCTTCACAATGTTTTTTCATTCGATGCAAGTCAATGTGTGATCGTGTTCACCTAACTGGCAGAGTCCTCGTTAATGTAAATTCGATATTAACGCCACACAATGTGAATTGAGTTTATACTTACTCATGCCGACAAGAATTGTCACACATCGCCACTCACTTTCCAGTCTGTGAAAAATACATAAAATGAGAGTAACGGGTGAATAGAGTAAACGAAAAAAATGAATGATGAAAATTAGCAGCAGCTGATCAGAGGAAAGGAAGATATCACAAGGAGTTAAATAGCATTCCAATTAAAAACAAGCAAACTGCCTGAAGCTTGGAAAAACGCGAATCACCTGTCAATTCGAAAAAAGGAATATTTCAATTTTATACGATTTGAGATTAACATTTGAAAACTGTTGACCGCCTGGATTAATATACTTGGGATTGATGTCCATACCGCCTGTAATTCTTACCCAGCAGAGTCTATTGCCTTAAAGCAGAACAACTGCTGTCCAATTTGATACTGACGTGGGTACCAGGTGACATTTCTGTAATAGATTTGTCCTTGATTGCGTAAAGATGTAAGTTGCATTCCAGATGGAGAAGCAGTAGTTATTTCCACAATGCTGAAATGAATGGATTAAATAAAATATTGAGTCCATGATATTAGCTTAGATACTGAGGTCTTTTCAGTTCCCTTTCGGGCATGAAGAGTGTCATTTCGTCGTAATACCAATGCCTACGTACCAGTAAGCCATGGCGGGGTAATCTCATAGTCATTGAATTCACAAAATGTTTTTCACTTAAGTACCACTTGGTGGAGAAGTTAATTTGTTTTTAAGCCCTCATTTCTTCCAAAATGTTCTCCTCTCTCATTGACCCTGGCGTTACGAGCTCGAGTTAGCGAGCTGTTTTAACATGTGAGGGTTCTGGCACGAAAATGTTCCAGAATTCTGACAGACTTTTTCGTTCGGAACCTTCGTATACATATGTCCTCTGAGTCAAAATTTAATTTTGAAACTAAAAAATAAAACATTCCGAAGCAACTACTCTAGTTCGCTAAACTTACGACTTTGAGAGATCTGCAACTTGCACTTCTATCACTGCAATATATGCAGAGCCAATCGAGACATCAGAACATTCACCGTCTTTTGGGGTAGATGCTGTATAGACAGGCTTTTTATGACAATTACCTGCATGGTTACCAATTACCATGACAAGAAACTGTAATGGGATACCGCTGAACGGTGTGACGCTACCAAAGTTTGTAGTTCCCGCTGGAAAGTCTTCTAAAGTTAATGCCACTGCATAAATTCCGCCAACTGCTTGTTGTGATCCATTATACGTCAGAACGCAAGGAGTCTGCCAGAGAAAGTTTATATTAAGAAATAACGCTAGTGAGAGTACCAACATACGATTTAAAACTCTCTCGTATAATGTCCTGATACACTTCCATTCTGGTGTAATATCAAGGTAACAAGCTTCAGGCGACGAGTTTATCCACCATCATTTACTTGCTTGATAATACCTTGATATTGTAAGGAGAAATTATATTTCAATCACTGTTGGGAGTTATAGACTTAGCCCTCTTTAACGCCTGCAGGGCCGAATTCTCAAAAACCTCCAGCTTTGCTCCAGCACAAGCTCCAGATCTTCTCAATCTTTTGACCGGAGGGCTGTTTCAATTGTCAAATGTGATAGGGGCATTGCTGCCCTTATCACATTGCGTTAAAATCCAAACTGGCGGATGATAGTTTCTCCTTCCTTTAACTAAATAAATCTGATTTTCTTTAAGGTTGTCTCTCGAAAAGTTCAGTTAATGGTTTTAGCCAAAATCCTTCTGATACCGGCTTTTTTACTTTTTGATTAATTTTTTTCAACCTGAAGTCACTTTCGTTATCAATTACCTCATCCAGTGTACCGTATGGAAAACTGGTATTGTCTCTAAGAGACTCCGAAATAGTCGCAAAACGGCATTTCACTGTATCTCCATCCGGGTCTTCAACTGGAATTCTGAATGACTGACGGCAACCTCCTGGAAATCGAACAATGGCTGGGCTTCTTGTTACTGGGGAAGAATTAATTTTGCCATTATCTGATCGCGGCGAAAGGTTAATGGTAGTTTCTACTCTCCAACTTGTAGAACCACCATAATGACTAAGAGCGATCCAACAGCAACCTGAAAAGCTTAAATCAAAGAGAACTTTCACTATCACACCCTCAAAGGGTGTGATAGTGAAGTTTATTCTTGATTTTTACACTGTTAAAAAATGGATCAAAACTACATTGGTACCTCTGAATATCAGTATCCATTACCATGCACATGCTATGCAAAATTGCTACACAAATAGATCAGATGTTCGTTAATCGTGAAGAACATTAATCGGCTTCCGTGAGATGTATTCAGTTTGAGTCGAAAGCATAGGAATCCCTCATGGACATACCTCACATGCCATTCCTTTTCGCTGTTACTGAAAGTATGCGTGAAATTATTTTCACCCACTGTCCAATCCTCGGTGGTGCTGTAGTCTGTACAGTAGAAGTTAGTATTTCCGATGGCAGTCGACCCACATACAGGATTAGGAGAATTGGTGCATGTTGCATCCCATGAGCTTCCGAAAGAAATGAGCTGATTGCTGCTTATCGTACTCTGGTCACAGTAAAGACCAGCGCTGTACGATCGTCTCCATCCGATGCGAAATCGAAACTGTAACTAAATTAACGATAAATAGGTGTTAGCAGAGTGTTCGGCCTTTGTTATAAGGCTATCAGAGTGCCACCATCCTTCATTGTCCTACGCTAGGACAACTTGTCTAATTGAATTTCAGTAAATCATTTAAGAGCAGAAAGGGGATAGAGCCATTTAATACATGTACCATTCTTTCAAAAAGACACCTGCATGGACTTATTGCAGGCATTAAAATAATAAAAACAAGCAAACAAACACAAAAAAAAGTGACAAAATAACCTCAAACTGAACTTTGGAAAACATCATACGAGCAACCAATTAGGAGATCATGGAGCCAATGATAAGTTTTTAAAGCTTTTCTTCCAGAAATCCTCTACTGCTTCTACTACTACTACTACTACTACTACTACTACTACTACTACTACTACTACTACCAACAATATTAATAATAATAATAATTATAATACTCATAATTACTTATTAGCTTATATAGCACATTCTACATGCCGTAATGATCATCTGGAATTAAAAAAGAACGCACTAAGATAATCTTAGCTTCTTCATTCAAGAAATAACTTTCAGTCTCTTACCCTTTCCCTAATCTCCCCTTCTTTCCCAACCTGGTGTGAAGGTTTCTTCTCATGTTACAGACACAAGCCATTTTAAATGAATTGCCAGTGCAAGAACAACACGCACAGTTGAAAGAAAGTACATCAATTTGCTTAAGTAGAGTGGCTCACTTATTTTTAGGAAAAGGAATCCAATGACGATGACATGTCACCTTGAAGATATCATCTTTTTGTTAAGAAAGCCAAGAGCCAAGCCTCTACAATATTTGAATGCACCATATTTCGTTTTCAAATTAAGTGCATTGTTACGAAAGTTGATCCGTTCTCATCTGCTTCTATTCCTTACCCCCCAAATAAACCGTGAACCTGCGAAGAGTCATTTTAATTATATTCATGTAGAAGTTATCTTCCTTGAGTATGGGCTTGGGGTGTTTATCCAATTGGTGGAATAGCAAATGTTTGTGAACGTTCCAAGCTTACTTGCACCACTCCCGCTCTGACACATAGTTTGGGGTGGGGGGGTGGAAGGTGAGGAAGGAGAATTGATATTTATAAAATGTGCGACATCATCTTCAATTTCGTAATTTTCTCCGAAAAACGACAGACGTCACTACGTCACTGCGTGAAATAATGTTTTGCAATGGTGGGTTAAAATGATCCAGTTCTCATCAATAGAGATCAATTTTACGGCATAGGAATCGAATGGTGAACTAACTATTTGATACGTAGTTACTTTATCTCGAGCTCAAAATTATTGATAAGTGATAAACAATTCTCAAAAATTGCCATCATCGGAGATCGTTAATGTACAAAGTTCTCCTTGAATTCGATTCAGTGAAACTGTGGGAAAACATTTCGATTGAAATTATTTGAAAAAGAGGCGTTTTAAGATAAAGATGAAGAAACATTTAAAGCACACAGGGAAAAAATATTATTTCACTGGTTCATGAATTGGAAGAACTGTGTGAAAAGTCATTGATTTCACGATTTTGTACAGACAAGTCACTTCTAAACCACTCAGATAATTGTTATAACACGTGGTAATAAATTGATATTTTCCTAATTCCTCCCTCTGCTGTATTAATTTTCTTAAATATACGAAATCAGCTTTGAAGAAGTCGGCTCCAGTTTTTTTTGGTTCAAAAGAATGTAATTGTGGCGCCCTTGCTTGGGAAATTAATTTTTTTAACTACATGACCTTTATTTTTAAATTCAAATCAAATATGCATGTACATATGTAACCAATTCAGACATTTGAAGCACATGAAAAAACAAGCTAATAACAGACGTAGAACGCACGTTATAATTCCTATGCTGTGACATTTTATTTCATTAAGATTCTTTGTATTTTATCCTGATATGACATCTTTTCCTGGTCACTATTCACGATAAACGCAGATTGCATATCCGGTGCATATTGAGTGTAATTATGCTTGTGCAAAAGGCCGCTCGTTAGTCAATTTTATAAATTCTAACCACGATAAAGATCATCTTACCATCCATGAGAATCAATTTGTTCAGTGTGGTGATTGATAAATCAACTATTGTCTTTCAGCAAAGAATTACACCCTACTGCAATTGGCAGTTTGCCTTCATTTTTGCCAAACTGATGGCATTTTTATCTTGATATGCGTCTCGTATCGAAGAACACCCCCCCCGTCGATTCTCCAAATGAAAACAATCTAGTCTCGACTATCATTGCCTTATATAATATAAATTTAAATGTCAATTTCGAACCCGATTTTTATCTCAACATTTTTTTTAGTTTCGTTTCAGTAATAAGTTGCATTGGAGTTCGAAAAAAACTTACTTAGCCCGCACGACCAAGTATAGTAGGTAGGTCACACATGTATGTATTGTGTACCCATAAGTTACCGATATAATCGCGCAAATTGCGAAGTTCAGTATTTTAAGCACGGCACTAACAGCAATGGCAAACGCGAAGATTGAGTTCCGTTTTTAAGTTTTAAATTCCCTTAATTCCTGTCACGAGGGTCATCTCGGTCAGTTTTCCAAATGGTAGCGAGTTTAGAGAACTATTTTGATTCTGCTTGATGTCGCGATTAAGAACTAAAGTATAGGTAATGATTTTTGGTCTCTAAAAAATAATAGAAGGGGAAAGTTGGCACACAGTGAATAAAGCCCGGTGCCGCTCTAAAAGCAATGAGCGTTAATTAAGTATTTCGAGAAGACAGTTGACCCCGCTCACGTATGGCGCGTCGAAAATTGAAGCAGTCCAACTTCCATAAAGTACATAAAAAATTGTGTTGTTGTAAAAACATTTGTTTGTTTGCCCTTTAGAGATATCTTTACTTATTCCAAACTGGCAAATCTTCGTAAGGACTCAACTCTCGCGGTTTATGTATCAATCTTAGACCCTGCCTTTAACGATGCGAGAGGGTTAAGTGTGCAAACCACTCTTAAATTTGGGAAATTATGTTTCTCGAAGTCTTCTACTTCACGCATGTATCGAAATTTACCAGCGAGGAGTAGAACTTTTGCGAAGAAAATCGACGAATTGCCTTCTGAACTGATTCTGGGACGTAAAATCTCCTAATGTGGGACACAGCCCACTTTGGTCAGAATATATCATTTGCAAATGTTTAAGTTCATTTCGTTCTTTTTATACTTAGCCAAAACACTTAAACTAAAGTTTATGACTATTTTCACAACGACTGTATCAAGGCTTATGGTGGTACGTTTTTTTTAGAGTTATATTCCAAGCCTGTTACGCCAGACACCCAAAAATATTTTTCCTCTTTGCATCATGACTGCTCGCCAGATCTCGGAGAAATTAAAACGTGCATGATGTTTGACGGAAACACTTTTTTTTTACAATGTATTCTTTTTTTTTTTTTGTTTTTAAATACAAATAGATAAAAGATAGCCAAAACACCTCTAATTAGGAACATACTAAAAGGGCCAAGCTCTGACCGACCTTGGACTTTCAAACTATTCAAACAATGGAAGCACATGACTAGCATGATAAGCTCGTGATAAATATGCTGCGACATGATAGGAACACCTAACATTTACATACCTTACAACAGTGTAAAGGGTTGCCTTTAACCTAATGTTACCTCGCCATATAAAGTTTTCTAAAACTCTGAGAGCAGCTTTTTGAATAATTCTTACATAGTGACCTTCGTTTCATTAGCCTTTTTTTTTTTCTTCTCGACACCCTCAATACGTTATCCATTATCTAACAAAAGGTTTATAAGACTGCAAAAACGTATCAGCTTAAGGGCGTTGCCTTAACAAACACAACTTTTTATCAGCTTCTTAGTTTAAAAGGAAATGCATCGTGGCTGTAGGAGAGAATTTTTGGTGATATCTCGGGAATCTGGACTAAAGTTCTATCTTTTGTATTTCATTTTTCTACCTTGATAATTGCGCATCATTTACCGAAAAGGAGTTTTATCTTGCAAACGCAAAAGGCTACTAGTTTGTGAACTTTGCTTTCACGTACTTATTTCCGAATCTCTCTATATTTCCATCTTGAAACTTAATTTCACCTAAAAATTCAAGTTACTCGATTGCAATTTGTGTGGGGTAAACAATTTAGCTATCGTCATTCAACTATTGCCTCTTTTTTCTTTTTCCACTCAAGAAAGAAATTATTTCAGGTTCGTTTTCTCTTAAGTTAAGGCAAAGCTGAATGGCTTTTAAGAATGCTAAGAAAAACATGCAAATTAATTCTCAAAAATCGCCTTAAGGTGGAAAGATTTTCACAAATTCCAAGAGCATACAGACTTCCATACAACTCAACGTGATTAAATTGGGTAACTATATAGTAGAGGATCGCCAACTTTTTGAGGCTTCGTAGAGATTCTTTTACAAAAATTACCATACCTTATTGCTGTTAGAATTATCTGGAGCCCACATTATACTGCCGTGTCGGAAGTGCGATGCTTCAGTCGTAATGCAGACAAGCACAAGAATGAAGATCCACCAAGCTAGTACACGGCACTCCATCAGCTTTGACCGTAAATTTTAAAATCAAAAGTGTTGAACACTAAATATATTTACAGTGCTCAGCTTGAAGAGTTTACAACAGAGGCCGAAGACCTTTGAGTTTTATTGAGCAACGAGACAACTTTTGATACGGTCTTATCACATGATGCGTTTAACAAAAGGGTTCCTGTGTGTTTCAGCTGGTTCCAGTCGATAAATAATGGTAATAAGATCGGGTGGAGTCTGTAACTCGTGCGAGCATTTAAAAAAATGGGACATCCGCAAAGCGGGAGTTCGATTTGTCAATCACGAGTAAGCTCAATGACCGAATTGGACGACAAAAAGTTATGTTACCATTTAATTACAATCATTACAATTTCCGCGAAAACCCATCTATTTATTGAAAGAAGAACTTGTAATAGCAGTTTTTGAACACTGCACTCAGCCATTACAATCTCCTTTTCCTTCTCCTTTTCCTTCTCCTTTTCCTATTTCTTTATTTCCTCCATTTTTCGGAAATCCCCAGCTCCAGATGGTAAGTTGTTGTTATGGTTTGTGAAATCAATTCTGTGATTGGTGGACCTATTTGTATGTTCTTAGTGTGATTGGCTGATATAAATGTCTAAGAATTACAGGCGTCCGATTACAAGCAACCGTCCAATTACATCATCGTTTTCATCTAGCAATGGTGTGCTTTTCTGATATGCATGTTAAGTCGCTCTCATACACTGTGACAATCCTAACAATGTCAGGACGCCAGTAAAAGTGGCAGATCGGGTGATATGAACACGAAAATAACACGACTTTTATCCAGGAAAAGAAGGTAAGTATGAAAATTTGGTAATTTCCTTGCCACGAATTCTTCTTGCAATAAATTTTCTTTAAAAAAATATCATGAAAAATCCTGTCTTCATCCGGCGTCTCATCCCCAGGGTCTCTCCTTCAGTGAAGGAAGGCGGAAGTAACATTTGACAATTCCCATATTACTTTGCAAGTGGTTATAATGGCGTCAGTCTCGTGGGTTGTATGGTAAAGCATACAGAGTGAATCTTTTAATGTTTTTTTTTTTATTTTAGCGCCCAAAACAATTTTCTGGGATCGTGTTGAATACTACTTGACCTACTTCATTATGTTTGAAGGCTGGAATCAGGGAAATTAAAGATAATTGTGCGTCAATGACGATTCCGTGGAGAATTAGAAATTTGGTTGCATCCAACCTGGTAAGATTTATACAAAATAAACTTGTGTGACATTAATAATAGTTAAAAACGTTATGTTAAGTCAGGTAGGCATATTAGGTTTATTTAAGATACGCTTTCAAACTAATGTGATGGTGTTGTGTTAACAATTCTTTGAAAAATTACCCGCTATTTTGAAACTCGGTAATAGGCTTGTCCGATTATTTTAACTTTGCTCTCCTTTGCCGTGGTTAACTTTAAGACAATAGTTCAGCTTTCTGGTGAGATAAGCAATTTTTTTTCAAAAATGGGTAAGATTTCTACAGAATCCCTAGACTTCATTGTGTTCTTGATTACGAGGAAACCATTATTTTAGTAAAAACAATAGATTTCCTTTCAGACTACGGCTTTGTTTTTTAATAGTATCGGATCATGCAAATTTTTTTCCCATTAAAAACCTATATGGTTCACAAAATGTTTTAAAACATAATAATTTTCACTTGATCATCCCCTCTCCACCTCTAATAAACCCATTATATTTAATTTAGCCCTAAAAATGACTACCAGAAATGACTAACATGTAACTTCTTACAATACCCATACATTATCCAGCAAAATAGTAATGAGGATACTTGTTTTCTTTTGAGTATGGCCTGATCACTAATATAATCTCCCCTTACATTCCAGGGCCATCTTGGTTAGCGAGAGAAAACCTAATTTCCACTTATTTAGTTAATTCACTTCCACAAGCTTTGCATGCAGCTTGCTATTGCACACTTAACAAAGTTTTATAAGTAGCAAAAACAATTACTTTGCAAAATAATGATAAAGAAAGGTCTAAGATCTTCCTCTTTACCATAAATTTTTACTGCTGTTTGTACTATCCTGCTTTGGACTACCAAAGTTATACAACATGTCAAAGACATTAATTTAAAAACCCTTAATTTAAATTTATTTTTCTCTTTGCAAGTTTTTTCCCTGTCAGTTTTCCTGTGTTGGGATGATTTTGCCCCAATAATTATACCATGTTTGCTCCTACCTTTACCTGTGTAACCCCAAATATTCAATTCATTTCCAAACAGTGGAAACTTTAAGTGAAAGCTATAAAGAATAAAGCTGGGGATAAAAAATATCCATAAAACTGTTGTGGAGAGTACAAAGATGTGTGCACTCTGATTGGAAGAAGATTGTGACATTTCTTGCTATAATCAACTTGCACCAAGTGATTACAGCGAGGGGCTAAATTGCAAAATGGTCACCTCATGTTTTGTCAGAAGAGTGATTTATATGAGGACGGGAACATCAGTTGACAATGACATGCGCAGCAAAAATATGAGTAAGAAACTGAGTCAAGAATGTTGTCTCATTGTGTCTCAAAAGTGACTTAGCAGCCGTTGCAATGGACAGTCAATGTTATGTTTGTTCTTGAATATCCTAACCTCAGCTCTTTTAAGATCACCATCACCTTTGAACTTTCAGTTTTAAAGACCACCCTAAGGACAACAAAATTATCTTCTTTGAGAGTTCTGTAACAAGCACAAACAGAGGATAGTTATAGATGCTGCATGTAAGTTGGTAATATGAATCCACATGGGTGATTAGACTTTGAAATTATTCCACCCCAGTTTAGTCTTGAGTCTGCTGATTCATCTATCAAATTTTGATATTTTATTCTCAAATTTTTTATATAATGAGTTCCTGTTTAACCATGAACAAATGAAGTGTACTCAAACTAATCACCCAAAAAATGGCTTGACTTAGGAATAAGACTTCATTCCTTTTCTATTTTTTTCATTGTTTAATTTTTTTTTCTTTTTAAGAGTAAAGTTTATCAAGACTGAATCAAATTGATAAATTTAGAAAGCCATGCCAAAATCAAGTTGATTGTCATCTTCTTTCATAGGGAGAGCATGACCTTCTTGTCTTAGTTTTCACCAGTACTTATCAAAAATTTAAGACATTAAAAGTGCAAACCCAAGCTATTCTCAAATTTTTATCTCTGCCTTCAATTTGCAGAACATTTTTTAATCACGGTAAAGATGATAATGACAACAAATAACACTGGATAATACAGTAGGTAAGCTTTGTGATATTTCATTTTGACAAACTTCAACATGAAGCAAGTTTAATTTAGTGATGAATTAATTTACGATAAAATTAACTGCATCCCATTTGTAGAGTTTTAATTCAGGGTTAAAGAAATTTATTAAAGGAAAGTCCTTACATTGTTTAGAGCCTTGCTCAATTAGAAGCGAACTGAGCCTAGAAATCTTGGATGGCTTATACTAACGATCACGTTTCCTTTTGGGAATCCAGAATAAATGTAGTCTGTGGTAAATTTTTGCAAACACACCAAATAAAACAAAGAAAGGGACCTGGTTATCTTGGAGTTCTGAAATCATTCCAAACAGCATTATCTCATTTATAAGAGCACAAGTTACACAAATCCCAGGTGTTTTGATCATGACGAGAACACCAGTGAAACAACGCCCTGAACTTGTTGGGGAGAATGACAACACTAACACCAAAAGTTGAAATAGAGTCATGTCCAGATTATCTGTGCACTTTCCCACTCTAAAATGATGTTCCAGTCCTCTTGTTAAGTCACTCTAGTGTTACCAAGGAACTAATAACCATGATAGAAGAAAACTTAATTCTAAAGAGCATAAAAGATGCTATTATTAGTTTGATGTAACACTTTGGAAAAAAGATATGACAGAGGTTTTTGCTGATTGGATTAAATAAAGCTGCTGATTAAATTGTTATGAAAACTTGCTACATATCTCTATATGAGTAATCAAAACAATTGTAATAGAAAGGTTTTGACAACAAAATAAATATCATGAATATTATTGAATAGTCCCCTTGCCTTTGTCACAGGGATTGTTAAACAATATTCACTTTGCCAGATAAGTGATTGCCAGATAAGACAGATAAGTTGATTTATTGATACTTAAAACAATAATTGAGGTCCCCATAATATTATTCTTAATTAAATAAATGTTTTACCCTTAGTGTCAACACAACCCCCTAAAACAGTAATGCTCTTACTTAGCAATTCTCTGGCCACACTATAGGCCATTTTCATAGGCTTTGAAAAGATAAATTTGATCTGAAATTTATTTTATTATAAATTGAATTTGGATATCTTTGGAGTAATGAACAACCATGAACCTCACTGGTGATGAAAATTATGTAGCATTACCTGAGTTGATAGAATCAACATTGAACACCACTGTTCATTTCGGAAACCAATTAAATTAACTTATCTACTCAAACATTTGAACTAAACAAAGGTTTCTTTTTGCACATGTAACTAAGTCAGTGAATCACATGTAAGTCAATCAAGAGGTAAATGCATGTATTAGAAACTTGCAACAATAACATGCTTTTACAGAATGATGTTTATTAAGTTTTTGGGTCAGTCCAAACTTTAAAGGTAGTTAAGGTACAGTGTTACTAGTTTTTCAAATGTACCATGAACATACTGCAACATAAAAAAGGTGTTAAACTATGGCCAATTATCTTATTAAGTTCCAGAGTAACAAAATGGCTATGTTAGTCAACATGCCTTGGAAATATATCTTATTAGACATTTTGGTGTGTAGTATCAATGACTTTTTTTATGAGTTGTGCTTTATTTTGACGAGCCTGCAGAGCAAGACAAATTACAAAATTTAAAATTTTTTTTTCGCATTTCTGACAAAGTGGTGACAGCATGGCAGATAGAGTAGCATAGCATTTGCAGCTGAGTAGTTAAACAGTGTTTTTTTTAATTAAAAAGGAACCAACTGTCCAAATACGGCATGAAATTTTTACTCACTTCTCGTGCTATTTATACTCTGCTCACTGCCTCATTGTTTATAAACTTTTCTCATGTTCTTCCAACATCTTATTTATTGCTCAACAAAACCTGTGTGGGGTACCTTAGTCTTTGTTGAGACAACCACCTCACTTAAAGAGGACCTTTTTGGTACTGAATTACTATAGAAGCAGTCTTGTATTTGAACTGCACTTCCTCAGAGGAGTAGCATGTTATTTGTGTTTCTGACAATTTCTAAATGGATGAATGTTGCAGTTTTTTTGTTCTTTTAACCCACACAGCTCAAGTATGGCCAAATTAATCTAGATGATGGTACCTGGGTAATTGTGGTTGACATCTGTCAGATTGGAGAAGTGTGGCTTTTGGACTCCAACAAGACTACAAACTAACACACTCCGATTGATACACTGTTAAGACAAGAAGATAAATGAAGAAAATGAATGGGATAGAAACTTACAGGTCAGTTTGTTAACTGATACACTTGCCTCAAACATACAATGTAACTTTTTGCTGAGAGAGAAAGCTTGAAAGTGTTTCTGATGTAATTGTATTTTTAAATCAGCAAGCACATTGGTCAAGTTTCAATGAAAAATTATGAAACTGACATGCTGTGTTTTTATATTATTACAGTAATTCAGACATAGATAACCCATATAAAGATGAATTCCAAATTTTAACAAGCATAAAAAAATCCATTGTACAAATTTTTTTATCTCCTAAACTTTTGACTCCTAAAAGACTTAAACAGGACTAATAAATATAGGGTAGGGTATACATGTGGTGTAAATGTAGTGGTACTTAGAACATTGAATTTTAGCAAGAGTTAGCAAATTCCTCAAAAATTATATGAGGGGGAAGGAATTTAAAATTAGAATCAGGTCACGTAATCTAGGGCTTGAGATAGATACAGTAATACATGTTCCTCCTATTTCCTCCTACCATTTTTATTTAAGTGCTACTTCTAAATGAGTGTTGGATACTGACAAACAGGCACTGCTTATAGGAATATGTGTCATTGGTACAACTGTCTCAAACAGCCATGAAATGCATTTTCCAGCAAAGTAAGTTTTTTCAGGCAACAGTTCCCTTCAGGAACAGACAGGAGCAGTGACATTGAAATAGTGGCAAACATAGTGCTAGCCTGACACAGACTAACAGTTTCACTGGCATGGCTGTATTTTTTCATCAGAATAGATGATTGATCGACTCAATTTTCTAACTGCTAGAGACTAGCTCACGGACAGACTAATTTACCACCCCTTTGACTGGCTCATTGAGTAGGTGACTCACTGAACTTTGAACTAACTGACTGACTTTCATATTGGCTTAACACTGCCTGAAGCACTTACACTGTACAGGCTGACTGAGTGATTTACTGGCTGACTGATTTACTCATTAAGTAACTCACTGACTTACTACATGATGACTGACTGCTTAACTAACTGACTAAGTAGCTGACTACCTGATTGACTGCTTGACTCATTGCCTAACTCTTTACTGGCTGACACACTGAGTGACTGATTGATGGACCTGATGGACTGACTTACTGTTATTTAGCTGAATGATTGCCTGGCTGTCAGGTTCACTTACAAGTAGACCAAGCTATTGAATGCCAGGTTGATTGACTGACCAACCAATAACCTGACTGATAGATAGACAGACTGATGGTTTGAATACCTGACTCCCTCACTGATAACTGACTGACTGATAGACTGATGATTTGACTGACTGACTGATTAACTGACTGGCCAACAGACTGATTGGCCGATTAACTGATTGACCGACTGACTGACTTTCACACCTCCACACTTACACACTACCAGGTTAAGATAAGTGCAAGTAAGCTAATTACACATCACACATTTTCACGTTTCATGGTAACTCTAATGTGATTAATTTTATGTGTAGCACATTCCATTGTGATGACGTGTTCTGTGCTCTTCTGCCCCAAGTATAAGCTGACACTAACCACATTTACTCTTGACTGACTTTCTGACTGACTGCTGATTGACTGACTGATTGACTAACTGACTTACTGACTGACTGCCCACTGATTGACCGACTGACTTGCTGACTGACTGTTAAACTCACTGACTGATTGACTGACTGACAGACTGACTGATTAACCTACTGACTGACTGACAGACTGACTGATTAACCTACTGACTGACTGACAGACTGACTGATTAACCTACTGACTGACTGACAGAATGACTGATAAACCTACTGACCGACTGACTGACCGACAGACCGACAGACAGACTGACTGACCGACCGACAGACTGACTGACAAACCTACTGACCGACTGACTGACTGACTGACTGACTGACTTACTGACACATTTCCTTTTCTAGCATGCCTGATTGTGATAACAAAGGTTCTGATTTTGGAAAATATGTCATTAAGGGCGTAAGTTTATCTCAAAGTCAGCCTCTGGTGACTTAAAATCTCAATATGATTGCTGGATAAAAATTTTGGTAGCCAGGAAGAAAGAAACCTTCAAAATTATATGATGTAGCAAACAAATAGCCATGTTGCTTGTATTAGAACAAGAAAATATAAAAAGTTTATAATCTTTTATTGTTTGGATCTAAATTAAGTTTTATCGAAATCAGAGATTCTCGTGACATGACAAGTCAACCAAGGAGAAAGAGTGTATCTTGCTTTGACTTCCATCCGCTAAAAGTATGTTATAAAGATGTTACAACTCCCTACATGACAGTCAAACAATTAATTAAAGAAGTAGCCCATTTCTGAAACACCTTTCACCTCTTTTTGAAAACGAGTCTTGGTGTTGATCCTTTCCTATGATTATAAGTTTTCATTCACATGCAAATTAAACTCATTTTCAAACAAATAATTGATCACCAGGCCTCGACTATCAGGGGAGGGGGGGTTTGGAAGATTTTGGGGATCACTTGGTTTTAATCATCCTTTCCCCTTTCTCAAGCATTTTTTAAATGGGAGGAATATAGTGGGGCCTCATTAGAATACTACAGAGTCTCATGAGGGAATCAGATAAACGTTGTTGTGACACATCTATAACCCCCTGCCCCCCCTGACTCCCCCTTCCTCTCCCAGGTGTTAACTGATGATCATTCCCACAATTAATTTTGTTTTCGCATTAATTGTTCTTGCATTCTTCCTTTCAGATGCTTGAAAGAAAACCATTCTAAGGAGGAGGTCAAGGAACATGAAATGCTTCAAACCTTTGTGAGTATGGTTGAAAAGGAAACTCATGTAATTATTTTTAAACGGAGCTCAAATTTGTAGAACAAATATTTCAAGTATTGTTTTCAGTAAATTGTTTTTGACCGTAAACAGATGTATCGAAATTTTCTTACTTTTTTCTTACTTACTTTTTCCACTTTCAAAGACTGAGAGCATTACAACTTTGAAAGAAACTCAGTGAAGACGAAAATACGATATATGTGGAAAGCATGATCGTGTGGCTAGCTTTTATTTTGGAATTCAGTGAATTTGCATCTTTAAATTGAATCATTTTCGCATAACTGCAAACCATTTCCAAGTAGAATTGAATTGCCGTGGTTGTTGTTGTTTTTTTTTTTGCCGCATCCTTCCCCCTTTCAGTTATCGCAACTTTTACATTGAAAAAGACGGTCAAGGAATAAGAGGAGACTCAACTTTTCCGTGAGTCTAATTAGTGTTAATGTCTACCGTCCCGAACTAAATGTAGTTTTGTGAAAAATTTATTGTCCTACCCGCAAATAATTTCAGTGTCGTCTCAGAATGAATTATTTCAACTAGGACCTTTTATTTTCCATTCACTATTTCTGTAACTTTTCGCCTTTTAGGAAACGCAAATATTTAAAAAATTGACACGAGTGGTTTTGGAGGAAGAGAATACTCCTAGGATCCGGTGAGTACTAGTGATGTTTTATTGTATAAACCTTTGAGCTGAAATTTGTTATTCTGTACCAGTATCAACCTTTGCAAAGTTGCAGTTTAAGAAGACGGTAAAAGAAGAAAATACTTAATATTATAGTGAGTGCGATAAGTATGTTATTATTGAACTGCTTGATTAAAGATCTTTGTAACTTCGTCGAAAGTTGCTTTTTTTTAAGTTTCGTCTCGAGTAAAGTACCCTAAACTAGTACCAGAAGTATTGAATTTTTTCAGTAATTCTTGCTTTCTTTAGAGTTAGCTGTTTTTTTTAGTTTTTGAAGGTATAGAGAACACTTACTATAGACTTGAAATTGTTTTGTAGTTGCTAACAGATGATTTATTCTATGTTAAGTATTGTTGGCAAAGCGATTAATATCATCTGTGTTAACTTCAGGATGTGAGAGAAGGACAAAAGACAACGGAAGGTCCAAGAAAGGTCAATGAAAAGGAGGGAGAAATTTGCTATCATTCCGAATTGTCTCGTGTAGTGCTCTTACTGTAAACTGAAACTGGT